TGTGTGTGTGTGTGTGTGTGTGTGTGTGTGTGTGTGTGACAGAATGTAAGTAACATATTTTCAGTGTTAAAAATAGAATGTTCATTGTTCTAAGAAATGTAAGTTGTTTTGTAACTAAGAAAGTGCATTGGTAAGCTATAAGGCAAGAAGATGATGGGAAAAAATAAACAAACACTGATGGCACAGGAAAACTGTAAATCTAAGGAAAAGGGTGATGCCATGTATTGATTGGGGTGTTGCCGGGGCTTACGTGATGACGTAGATGGGAGGGGGACGTTAAGTGCATGTGTTTAGTTTTAAAAGGTGAAGATGTGACGAGGTGGTGGATGAAGATGGTCCAATAAAGATAACGAACGGATACTGCTTGATTCAATACAGAATGTCCTGTCTAATTAAGTAATAAGGAGGACATGCGACAAATGACATTTATAAAAGCAAAACTGGTAGATGACGATCTGGAAATACACTAGAAACAACAGTTTTTTATCATAAACAAAAATACACATCTTGAAATCAATGATACTATGTTGTGTTGTTGTTTTTATTTTTATAACACTGCACCCAAAGAGAAACGTCCACAATGYCGCTGTGTCATGTACAATGACAACTGACTTGTTATTCTGTTACAACAGGTGTAAAGTGAAACCGGAAGTAAAAATAGATCAATTGCAAAATTCTACAAAATAAAACAGGAAGTAGAACTAACCAAGAAAAGAAAAGAAAAGAAAAGAGAAGAAAAGAAAATACGACTAGAAAAACGTGTCTAAACTAAAATGTATATAAAACGACATGTATTTAATTRTTTATTTATTAAAACTGGATTGTTTTGTACACCTGCAAATTTTTCAGTGTTATGCAACCAATAACGCAAAATTAATTCAAAAAATTAATCAAAAAACATTACCTGCGTGACCTTTTTAATATAAACAATAACAACGTTGAAATTATTTGTGTTTATTTAAAATAGAAAAAATATATACATATAAACAGGGAAAAACAGAAAGGTCACGTTGCTATGGTGACACACAACAACTGGCTCAGGCTAAGCGTCGGCGCTGTTTGGTGAAGAAGAAATTAATTCTTACAAAAGAAAAGCTTTTTGTGGAATTCCTTCGAAAGAAAGACTACTTGCAGATAACGTAAGAGTTACTTTTTTACTGTTTTTA